TTTTCATTTTCACTTTTTTTTTTTTTTTGAACTTTTCTTCATAAACTATGTGAAGTCCCTTTCTGTTTTGTCCTGCTTTATTTAAAAGGACCCAGCAAAGGTACAGAGAGAATGTAATGGCTTTGTTCCTGATGTCACTGCAAGTTAGAATCCACATTGAGAAGCATGGGGAGAGGCCAGAATCAAACAGAACGTTCTGGGTTCACAGTCACCTTCTTGCTTGACAGACACCTTCTCTGTGGAGGACTACAGGGTTCTCCTGTGGTGTGCTTAGGAAGGGACTGGCTTTCTGGCCTATCTGAAGTGGAAGGCATCCTCCAGGGTAGGCGGGCTTCCTTTAGGGCTGCTGCTCCTCTTGTGTGTCACTCAGCCTCGGTTAAAGTCCTCAGAGTTGGTTCTAGAAAGCGGCACTGGTGGCAGAAGAAAAACTGACGCTGCTTAGTGGAATCACATGAGGAACAAACTGCGATGTTTCCTTGGTTCGTGGGTCTGGGTGTGAGACTGTGAGAACCATGTTTGTGTTCCCAATCCTCAACATAGCCACACCTGAGGAGTTGGCCTTGGGTCTAAATGATGCTCTCTTTTCCTCTATTAGGAACCATATAAGGCCTAAGTTCCATGCTGTGTTTGTGAAATCACTGAGTCCTAGGACTCCTTCCCAACAGATTGAATGCTGTTTCTCTAGGTTTAGGTTAAAAATATGTTAGCCTTGGACACTGGGGCCAGGTTTATTGCAATAGGGCATAGCCAGGCTGGCCTGACCACCTTAGGCTGTCACTCTCAAATGCTTTCCATTTACAAAAAAATTGATGGAGCTTCTCCCAGGGTAGATCTAATCAGTTGGAAGTTCCTTGCTGTCACTGCTAGCCTGTCTGTGGCTTCAAATCTCTGTTGACTTTGAGGACCTATCTGCCTGCTTTCTGCAAGTCACTCAGCCCAGCCATCCTGCTCCACTTCTTATGTATCTTGTATCTGGGTCAGTCCAGCACTACCTTTGGTGCCAAGCCTTTGTCCTTGTGCAATTTTGTAGACTTCTTTGGGAGGTGGTTTGAAAATTTGATGCAAAGCATGATGTCTGACAATTGTCTAACATTAATATTACATAGTCATCTGATCCCCTGTAATGGCCTCCTAACTGACCCCTCCCCTCAACCTCCAAAAGCAATTTTCTACCTATTTCCAATACAGTCTTTTAAAAATGAACATTCTGTCATATCAGTTTCTTGCTTAGAANTTGTTTTTTCGCTTGTACATTTAAGTAGATTCTGGATCTTAGACCTTTGTCAGATGTAGTTTTCAGATATTTTCTCCCATTCTGTGGGTTGTCTGTTTACTCTGTTGATAGTTTCTTTTGCTGTACAGAAGATCTTTAGTTTAATTAGATCCCATTTATCAATTTTCGCTTTTGCTGAAATAGCTTTTGGCATTTTTGTTATGAAATTTTTGCCAGATCCTACGTCCAAAATGTTATTTCCTAGGTTATCTTCCAGGGTTTTTATAGACTTAGGTTTTACATTTAGGTCTTTAATCTGTCTTGAGTTGATTTTTTTTTAATATGATGTAAGGTGGGGGTCTAGTTTCAATCTTTATTATTATTATTATCATTTGAGACAACGTCTCACTATGCTGCCGAAGCCTATACTTAATTTTTCTAGTTAACTTCTTTCTCCTGAGATACTCAAAGGTACAGGCATAGTGTTCAGAAAACAGTAATTCTGTAGATGTTTTACAGCAACTAAGACAAACTTAGGAATATTTTGCCCTTTGTGACTCTGCAGTAGCTGAGTTGCTGTGGAGAATGCAAGGATCTATGTGATAATATACCTTCAGGAAGCACAGAATTTAGTTAGAGATAGAGTGCATGTATAGTATATATAAGAGATGAGTAACATCAGACAGTATATTTAGTGAATAGTACAAATAACAACTTAGAATATACTTAAAATTATGGGTGCAAAGATTTGTACAATAGCCTTTTAACTACAATATTAGAATATGGAATATCAAAAGATGTTTTACTATTTATGTGATTTAAGCAAGTCACTTAATCTCTCTGAAGCTTGACTATTTTTGTTTGTAAAATGGGTTGCTGATAGAACCCAAACTGCAAGGTTGAAGAGTCCAGTGAGATAATAGATGAGAAAGAACAGTGCAAGATTCTTATGTAAGATTGTCATTTGTGATGTTCAGAAATGTCCACATCTGTGCCTTTAAGGCATGTGGCAGAACTGTACTACTTTGCCTCCTTTGCAGTTAGGTATGGCCATGTATCTTACTCTGGCCAATGAAATGTAGGCCCAGATGGATATGTGCCACTTCTAGAGGGATGCTTTTAAGAGCCTGTGTGTAAATCACTGTTTTCCCCTTCTTTCTCTGCCACTGGGATGGTGGAAGCAATGTGAAGCCTTAATCTACCTAGGGCTCCTTAAGTGGTCATAATGAGCGAAGCCCCCAGCTACCTGAAGTTGAGTATGAAGCATGAGCAAGAAATAAATTTCTGTCATGTTAAAGTAATGAGATATTTGGAGTTGTTGCTGCAACATAATTTCCTGAAACAGTCTGGCTAGAATGTTTACCAGTCATTCTTAATATTACTTGAGTACCTGGATATTCAGGTTTTGGATATGTTATACATGTGTCTGCTGTATATTAGATTTGTTAATATCTTTGCTACCTTTTTTAACTCCAGTTTTCAAAAACAGTTGGCCTCAAACCAATCATGTCTTTTTCTCATCTTTTCTGTTAAGTATTTAAGGTATCTACAGACCAGGAATAGAACTGGGCTTTTCTGTCTATTTCTATTTCTCAAAAGTTTAATTGAAAGGAAAAGTTATTGGTCAGGACAAAGTACCTGTGCAGATCATAACTATTTGGAAGAGTGACTGAATGTAATTAAAGGCAAGCTACCTTTATATCTATGTATTTTAACAAGTCTGTAGTTATTACCACAAAATTAAACCTGAGTCTTATAATTTTGGGAAAGGTAAAGCTCTTGCTCAGATTTTAAGTTCTTACTCTCCTTGACACCCTTTTCTCATTTAGAGAAAATCGGACCCATTTTAGAACGTGTGGCCATAAACCGGTGCTTGAGAGCCATGCAAGGAATGGCATTCTGATTAAGAGTACTTTTAACAAGTTCAGGATAACAAGTTCACTTGGAGGATGCCTAAGACAGAATTACTTTATATTAAACTCTTATCTGCGTTAAAGCATATAGTAAGCATTCAGTGTAACAGTCACTAACTTTGATGATTCGAGCCATCAATTTTAATGAAGATTCACATGTATCCCGTTGAATATAGCTCTCTCAGGGTGTATGTGAGCCAGGAGCATGAGCTCCCCTAGTTCCGGATAACAATTAGCCCAGTGTGACTCTGTTGAAAGGCTGGTTAGTGCCAGCCCTGGAGACTGCAGCATGGCCTTCTGAGTGCTTAGTCTCTTTAGACTGAACAGATTAACCCTTCTTTTTGGAGCAAAGCCTACATGCCATATGCCAGGTATTAGACAAGTGGGTTATCTCCTTTAAGCCTCTTAACAATCCTATGAGTCCTGTTAACTCCTTTTTATATAACAGATTCAGACAAAAACAAACACAAAAGAACAGAGGTAAGTTCTGCCCTCCATATTTGTCTCTGTGGTGTCTCATGTATCATAGAAATTGGTTAGATGTGAAAACGTTGACTCAAGGAAGCAAACATTTTAGTTCTTTTAACATCTTTGACATTTTTTCATAGAAAACCAAAAAATGCCAGAGGCAAAGAGAAACTGCCCATCTTTCTGCCATTCATGGTGAAGTATGATTGAACTTTGGCATGCAGTCCCCTTCCTGCCCCTAAGTATGTGCAGTATTTGTGGAGGGAGATGTGAAGGAGCACTGTCTATCTTCCATCAGCACTCGGAGACCCCTGTATCTCAAGGGTGAGGGGCAGGAGATTTAATTTAGTTAAATAGTCATTTATGAGAGGAGGTATCACAAAAGTAATGTCCATGGTTACTGTCTTCTGTTGGCCTTTCCCACAGCTGGCTAATGTCATCCAGCCACCAATCAAGGCTTGTGAATAGGTGTCTAACGCAGCAGAGTAACAGATCAGGCTGCATGTATGTTTACCAGGCTGTAAAAATTCCCAGCCTTTACCATTCAGGGAAAGTGTCACAAGCATGCTATATCTGTTGGTGAATGTGATGAATCACCCAGAGAAGGACAGCAAAAATGCAGGCTTTCCATATTAAAAGGGAGAACATTACATTCATTATCTTCCCAGATCTTTACTCATGACATCCACGGTTTCTGGTAGATCATCTTCTATGATTCCCCACTATTGTAAGGAAGTAGACGAGCTGCTCTGTGTGTCCCTTATCGTACCACTTGATAGTGATTAGTAGGAATTTATCACTATGGTGTACTTCATGGTTTTCCACCTATAAAGTATTTTTTATTCTAGTTTTGCTAATCTAGTTTGGTAAATCTCCATGGCCCATTTCGCTGAAATTTAGGTATTTTAAAACATTATACATCTGTCATCTGCGTTTTCTGTTTCTTCTCTTTAGCTGCATTTACCCATGCTCTAAGTAGCTAACTTATTTTCCTCCATTCACTCCAGAGGATCTAGCCCTTTGATTACCTGATCTTTGAGGGCTCTTGCACCCTACTCAGTGTCTTTCTGGTATAATTTTTTTTTCCAGGAGTAGCACTGCAGGTTTACGTTCAGATTTAAGAATCCCACTGTGATGATGATAACCCGTACATACCTCTAACTCTGAGCCAGGGACTGTTCCACATGTTCATGTTAATTTACTTCTCATAACCCTGTGAACAGATACTGTTGTTATTCCCATTTTACAGATGAAGGAGCTGAGTCATAGAGATGTTAAATGACTTAAACAAGGTGACACAACTGATAGTGGCAGATCTGGGACTTGAAGCCAGGCAGTGTGGTTCCAGGACCTCTCTCATTTAACGGCTACTTTGTGCCCATCCCGTTCTCTTCTTTCTGTTTTCATTTTCACTTTTTTTTTTTTTTTGAACTTTTCTTCATAAACTATGTGAAGTCCCTTTCTGTTTTGTCCTGCTTTATTTAAAAGGACCCAGCAAAGGTACAGAGAGAATGTAATGGCTTTGTTCCTGATGTCACTGCAAGTTAGAATCCACATTGAGAAGCATGGGGAGAGGCCAGAATCAAACAGAACGTTCTGGGTTCACAGTCACCTTCTTGCTTGACAGACACCTTCTCTGTGGAGGACTACAGGGTTCTCCTGTGGTGTGCTTAGGAAGGGACTGGCTTTCTGGCCTATCTGAAGTGGAAGGCATCCTCCAGGGTAGGCGGGCTTCCTTTAGGGCTGCTGCTCCTCTTGTGTGTCACTCAGCCTCGGTTAAAGTCCTCAGAGTTGGTTCTAGAAAGCGGCACTGGTGGCAGAAGAAAAACTGACGCTGCTTAGTGGAATCACATGAGGAACAAACTGCGATGTTTCCTTGGTTCGTGGGTCTGGGTGTGAGACTGTGAGAACCATGTTTGTGTTCCCAATCCTCAACATAGCCACACCTGAGGAGTTGGCCTTGGGTCTAAATGATGCTCTCTTTTCCTCTATTAGGAACCATATAAGGCCTAAGTTCCATGCTGTGTTTGTGAAATCACTGAGTCCTAGGACTCCTTCCCAACAGATTGAATGCTGTTTCTCTAGGTTTAGGTTAAAAATATGTTAGCCTTGGACACTGGGGCCAGGTTTATTGCAATAGGGCATAGCCAGGCTGGCCTGACCACCTTAGGCTGTCACTCTCAAATGCTTTCCATTTACAAAAAAATTGATGGAGCTTCTCCCAGGGTAGATCTAATCAGTTGGAAGTTCCTTGCTGTCACTGCTAGCCTGTCTGTGGCTTCAAATCTCTGTTGACTTTGAGGACCTATCTGCCTGCTTTCTGCAAGTCACTCAGCCCAGCCATCCTGCTCCACTTCTTATGTATCTTGTATCTGGGTCAGTCCAGCACTACCTTTGGTGCCAAGCCTTTGTCCTTGTGCAATTTTGTAGACTTCTTTGGGAGGTGGTTTGAAAATTTGATGCAAAGCATGATGTCTGACAATTGTCTAACATTAATATTACACAGTCATCTGATCCCCTGTAATGGCCTCCTAACTGACCCTCTTGCTTATACACCCCTCCCCTCAACCTCCAAAAGCAATTTTCTACCTATTTCCAATACAGTCTTTTAAAAATGAACATTCTGTCATATCAGTTTCTTGCTTAGAATCCTTCAGTGACTTCTCAATTTTTGGCATGTTGAATAAAACCCAAGCCTGCATAACCCCACGTGATCTGGTCCTACCTCTACCTTGGACACCATTTTGTACCAGCCTCACCCTTTTGATTCAGCCACACCAACCTTCTGTTTTAACACTTCAAGTATTCACATTGGCACTTATGTACATGTAGTTTCTGCTTCCTGGAATGCTTGTCCATTGATCTTACATGGCTGGCCTCTTCACACCACCAGCTGTCACCTTAACATCCTCAAGAGGCATTCTTTCATCACTCATTCTAAAGTAGCCATGCTGTCACTCTTTCCTCCTCTTGTATATTTGTCCATTGTCTCTCTACTCTCATTAGAAAATAAGCTTCATTAGGTGGGGACCTCTCATGGCCTATTCTCTGTTGTATCCCCAATGCCTAGAATAGTGCCTGGAACATAGTAGGTAGGTGTTGAATTAATAGCTATTGAATGAATAAATGATACATGGTAAGTGCTCAATAAACATTAGCTATTATTATTATGTTAGATATAAACAGAAATGTGAAAATGTAACTGGGGTTCAGTTGAGCCCTTATTCTTCACAGTAATATGTTCAAAGAAACAACTATGTGGCAGAAAAATATGACTAAAAGCAACTAATATCTTTACTCATTCTCACTCAAAAAAAAAATGCTCAAAGTGAGAGGGTATATTTTTCACCTATAACAACTTGTTGAAATCTTGTTGCCATTTCTGATACAGTATTCAACACACATGGCAGCTCTGCCAACTGTATCTTTCTGTCTCTTTGCCAACCCCCAACCAAAGAGCTCTTCAAAAACCTGGCTAAGTGCCTTCAGGTACTATTGTTACCTTTTTTTGGCCCATTTCTAAATCAGCATTCAGAAAAGGTCAGGAGTCACACAGGCACACTGGAACCTAGAGTGAAGTTGAGGGTGCTAGAAGTGAGGCTGGGAATACTCAGGTTAATAGTTTTTGAACCTGCTGGACATAAAGAAAAAAAAAAAAGGAAACTGATTAAAGATATTAGGGAATTCTAAACTGAATGGTACCTAAATAAGACTATCCTAAATAGCTGTACTTGTGGAGCATTGAATCCTAGATATTTTTTTTCAGATACACAAAAGCTAAATCTCTTAAATCCTTGCTATCCTACTACAAAGCTTTGAACCCAGATTAGACAGCGATCTCTACTATCACAAAGCTTATGTGTTACAACTATTTGTTTACTCTATAAGTCCTCCCTTGCAACCTTATTGACTTGCTTTATTATTTTGTTTGTAACAACTGTGAACTGGACCTAAAAAGGAAGGGGAACTATTAGAGACAAGGAAAAGAACATGATACTACTCAGCCTGAGTGAGCAGACCAAGATGAAAAATGATCTCACTACACGGTGGTAACAGTGACTAATTCCTAAAGTGGGAGTAAAGTCAAAGACAGGAGTGTGTCCCGGCCACTTTTTATCTCTGAATTGTTTCTCCAGTAGTGAGTTCTGGCCTACAGAGTTCTGGCCTACAAAATGCCCTTTGTTCAGCTTTCTTATGTCTAGTACACATGTGCAAGACAGACCTTTAAGATTACAGGATGTGGTCTTGGGAAAGCAGATCTTTACTGTGCAAAATATCCAGGTCTGCCAGAGCATCTTTTCTGAGCTCTTGGCTTCATTAATACACTGTTCCAACCTGCTGACCTCAACTGACTCATCAGGTTGTAAATGGAGTTGGGAATAGAAATTATTTCCCTGGGGGATCCCAGTTGTATAATAGCTGTCATTCGTATGCAGTAAAATGATTTGCAGAGTAGCACAGCTCAGAGTTCCCAGCTGCATTCTGTCTGTTTATTTCTGGCAGCATATGAAACAGTTTGCTAGCTATGTGCTTTCTAAAAGGTAATATGGACATGATAGTAACATCTGGGCCTGGGTTTTCTTCCACCCCATATAGATTTTAGTAGGAAGTCTGCATCTAAGAAATTTGAGTTTAATGTCTGTTCTTTGCTTTCTAACTGCATTCCTGTCAGTTCTCCCTTGCTTTTATTGGCCACAGTCTTGAGCCTCTCAGCTGCCATCTCCCAGAGAGTGCCAAGCTAAAGAGCTACACATAAATATTCATGAGGGAAAGAGACTCAGAAAACAGAGGACAGGTTGGGGAACCCTTTTTCCCAAGATGGGCTACTGGCTTCTTGCCTTACTTTCCTTTTCCTCCCTCCATCTACTCCTAGAGTAAATTAACTTACACACTGGCCATTATCTCTGTATCCAGTGGGGAAGAGGCAGGACAGTGTCTGGAAGGCAATATCTAAGAGAAGTGTGAGAACTACCCATGTTCCCTTGGGATGGCATGGTGTTATCCAACCAACTTATGCCACTGAAGGGTGCATTGTCCAAATAGTCCTTATATGCCATAGGGGTCAAGGAGGGTGGAATGAGGAGAGCAGAGAATCACAAGTGATAATAGCTGTTGTGGTGGACAGCAGAGGGGTAGAGGAAGGAGACATGCTCTTGTTTGCCCTAGCCAGTCTCATGGGGACTGTGCCTTGGAGATAGTAATACAGGGGCTCACACTCCCTACTCTAACCCCCTAAACCTTTCTGTTCTAGAAAATCAGATTTAAATGAACTACAACTGCAGCCTTGAAGACTGTGGAGCAAGGGAGGATATTTCAGACCTCTGTGCCTCACTTAGAGGTGAGACAGTTGATGCTCAGAGGCCTGAATCTGTGTCTTCTGATAATTTTGCCATTGGGTTTAGCATCCTCCACTTATTGCCATCTTTCTTCTCCCTCTGCATTGAAATCATCCATAGCCACCAAGTTTCCCACAGCTTAGGCTGCTGGTGAAGGCCCCAGTTTGCTCCACACTAGTTTGTTCTCTGACCACTACTTGTCTCAGTCTCAAGTTCCTGATTTTCAGTTTTCACACTATTCCGAGCTAGGATCTTGCCTATTTCTAGTTACCCTTACCTAGGTTTCCATTTTATAACTTCCCATCAGACATGCACAGTCTGATTGATTAACTCTTCATAATACTGTTTTCTCTTTGTAAGCAGTAGAATTGGACTCTTAATTCAGATCAATTTCTGAAACAGCGGTCACTATCTCTATCTTTATGTGCCTGCCTTTGCATGGACTACATTTAGTGCCTTTTTCTACTATATGACAAGAACAATTTTATTAATCTCAGCAGACAAGAGAAAGTGTCAAGTCACAGCAAGCATGATGGGAGCCAGGGTTTCTTACTGACTTGACTGAACACCTCTGACTAAGGCCAGTTCTTAAGGTAATTGAACACACACCAGTGCTTTTACACAGTTTCTAACCTAGCCTGACTTCTCAGCCTGATACTTTGAATAAGTGAGGAGCCTATAAGCTGAACCCTGCGTTATATGATTGGTGAGTCTGAATGAAAATCGTTGTATTGGAGCCAGAATAGCAGGAGACAGTGTGATACAGTAGAAGGAACACTGAACTTGTAGTGAGAAGCTTAGGTTTGGGAGCATTGTTACTCTGCCAACTTACTGTCCACATGACATGGTCAAAACACTTAACCTGATGTTTTTCAGCTGCTCATGAATCCTGTGTACCAGGCACTGTGCTTGGCACTATTGACACATTGGTGACTGTGGCAAGATCTTGCAGCTAAGTGTGACAACCCTGGCTATGTTAGGGGGCTCTTGTGACCCTTGAATGAGGTAATGTTAGGGGGTTCTTGTGCGCCATAAATGATAGAAGAGTCACTTGTTTTGTGAACTTTAAATGTTCACAAGAGAGGTCTCATTTTTACTGAAAAAAAAGTAACAATATATATAATTTAAAGGCCACATGGGAGAGCATTAAGGTATCCAACAGAGCACCATATTGAAAAAAGTGCATAGCTACACAGATGGAGAATGTACACTGTCTAGTGGGAAAATATTTTTTACACATTTGTACACATACAGTAGCAAATTATAAACACTACTGCCTTTGATACAAGGAATATAAAGTACTTATTAAAAATAAATTATGTGAAACTCCATTTGATTCTCTTAGAAGCTATTCTTCTGTGTTGTCATTGAACACCCAGAAAGACTACAGGCTTGTAAAGAAACATCTCTGTTTACATGATGTATTTCTGTATCACTCTTCAGGGTCAAAAGAGCAGCAGAGCAGAGTGGCTATAAGGCATGGATTGAGGACAATCTTCAGACCACCCTTTCCTGGTGAGGGAGAGGCTTTATGAAGGCTTATGTGCTCCTTTGGAGCCTAAAAGGCAGCCCTTGAGATCCTCCTAAGGGACTAAATACCAAAGGGATATTAGACCTGGGCAGACTTAGATGCACTACACATTGGATGATTCCAAGTGACATGGAAGAGCATTTTAAAATCATATACTGTAAGACAGATTATAGATCTATAAAAAAAAAAAAAAAAAACCTATAGGCTGTTTTGTGCATATCTCACTTTTTGGAAAAAGAAGTATTTGCAGGTTTATATGTGTCTCAGTCTGTTTTGTCACTTAGCTTAAAAAAACACACAACTTATAAATTTAAAAGGAAAGGAGACTTTATTTCTTCCTAAGAACTGTAGCTTGCAGGGTGGCCATCCCACAGAAGTCTACCTCTGGCCAAGACCCACTATGAAGGAGGTGTGTTTGGGATAGGAGCTTTACGTTGAACAGGTTGGCTAAACATACATGTTGAATAGGTTACAAAAGGAGCTAAGAATATTCATGAAAGTGGTCCTAATACATGTGTATTGGACAAACATGCATATAACAGATACTGTGTTCACTTTGGAGTGGAGACTTAACATTTAAATGTATTGCAGTTAGGCCCTATATGTCAAAAGGTCTTTTCAGGACATGAAGGCACCCAAGTGGGCAACATCTGTAAACCTGCCAGAACCAGTCTGTGGTTGGTGGTTTTCTCATCGGGAGAAAGTTACTGAAATCAGTTTTGTCGAAAGCTGTCTTTATTGCTGATAGAATAGGGGTTCAGTTAGCATTGATGAGTTGGATGAGTTGTAATTGTTTTAATGTTGCCTATCTCAAGGTCAGTGTTTGTTTAGCTGCTAGAGAAAAAGAAAAACCTTGCGGCAATTAAAACATAGTTTGTGCTGGAGCGTGGTGTTGGGAGGAGGGAGAGCATCAGGAAGAATAGCTAATGGATGCTGGGCTTTATACCTAGGTGATGGGATGATCTGTGCACAAACCATCGAGGCACACATTTACCTATGTAACAAAACTGTACATGCACCCCTGAACTTAAAATAAAAATTGGAAAAACAACAGTTTATTTTACTCATAAATAAACATAGTTTGTTCCAAGTACAGGAGTGTATGGCTTACCCCTTGCCTGGCATGGCCATATGTCCTGCTTATAATTCGGTATCTTAGTGCCACAAAAAGTCTGTTCTGTCAGTCTTATGATCCCTATTTTAACATTAATGCTGGTCTGTCGTGTCTAAACCACAAGAGGGAGGGGATATAATGAGGCATGTCTGGCCTCCCGTCCCATCCTGGCTGGGAACTCAGTTTTAAGATTTTTAGGGAGCCTCCTTGGCCACAAGGGGGTCTGTTCAGTTAGTTGCAGCGGGGGTGGGTAGGATTTTATTTTTGGTTTACACCCTATAACAGAATACCACAGACTGGGTAATTTATAAGGAAAAATATATTTCTTACCGTTCTGGAAACTGAGAAGTCTAAAGTTAAGGGGCCCACATCTAGCGAGGGCGTCTTGCTACATCTTCACATGGCGGAAGGCTTGAAGGGCAAGAGAGCAGGGGAGAGATGGGGGAGAAGGGGACTGAACCCATCCTTTTATTAGGAACCTACTCCCGAGATAACAGCATTAATCCATTCATGCCCTTGTGACCTAATCACCTCTTAAAGGTCCCACCTCTCAACACTTTTGCATGGGGGATTAAGTTTCTAACACATGAACTTTGTCACATTCAAACCATAGCAGTATGCAATATTAACTTTATCATTGGATGATACAGTTTTGTATTCATCTTTGGACTTTCTGTATTTTCTAAGCTTTGTGCAGTAAGCATGTATTTCTTTTGTAGTCAGAAAAGTAATTATTGTAAACAAAATCCTATTATAAACAGAACTCTAAAATATTATCTATACAGCAAAGGGACTGTGCTGTTCATCGTTTTATCCCTGGTGTCCGGACTATGCAGTGGAATCACATGAGAGAGCTTGTGAACGCTACAGATTTCTGAGCCTCAGCCCTAGAGATGCTGGCTGATTCAGTTCTGGAAGGAGATGAGGCTGCCAGGGAAAATGAAAGCAGATTCTAGAACAAGTCATACTATGGAATATTATCAAACCTATCATTTGCCATATAATTCCAGGTTTATTATAACCTGGGACAAAATGTGTACCCCAGTTGAAAATTATCACTGTAGCCTTCCCTCCATCTTGGCTCCAATTGCTGCTCTACCTGGGAACAATGTTATCTAGTTCAGTCTCCCCTGAGATAGTTTTCAGGCTCTGTGAGACTTAGAAAAAGCAATTATCTATCAAATACCAGATGGCTGTGTAGATTAGCCCCAATGAGTAAAAACATAGTGACGTGAACAAAAGATGGTGATTAGCTGGTTGAATAACAACAGACCATCTCAGCGCAGATGTACTGGAAACAAGGGCAGGATCAGATACTACGGTCTTTATTTTCTTGGTTTCATTAACAATGCATTCATTATTTCAATACTGCCCTGATGTTAACAGGGAGATAAGGAGAGGGGGATAACTTTTACACCACAGCTTTTTCATTTTTATTAAAATAACATTTCCTTAAAATTTCATGGTAAGAGATGACTTAATGTTATTTTCCATCTGGTTGTAAAGAATAGTAATGTGTGCTTCCTGGAAGATTTTTTTTTTAAATCCCAAACGAAGCATTTTTAGCTCAGTTTACATAACTGTTATAGAAAACCTAATATTCCCATAATATTCACATCATCCACATATGCAAACACAGGACTAAGTTGTATTTAAACAAAAAACAAAATTTAAAAAAAAGTGGAAGCCACCCAAATGTTTCAGGCCTCCATTCTGGCTGTATTTAGTTAAAAAAAAAAAATTGAAGCTTTCTAAGATGCTGTCGATTCAAAACCCAGCTGTAAACTGTAGGCTCTCCCAGCTCTCAGGCTAAGGTATGAGTTGGAGGTTACCAAAACTAGTAAAATGTGGTACCACAATTTTAATTGTAAAAATACCTAGTTTAAAATGTAGCCAATATTTAGAAACACATTAACACACTCTAAAACATCCAGAAGCATTTAGATATTGGTGGTGTACAAGCACTAAACATCATTTTACTTCAACAAAGAAATAGTCAAAATATTAAAGTCAGAGTTTTAAAAAGATCAATCTGTTAAAATACAGTGCTTTTTTAATGAAGGAAGAAACATATCTCTAAGGTATGATAGGAGATATATCAGTATATATCAGTTAATATATATTTCTAGGAATAGATGCCTTCAAAAATACAGATATTGTTGCAGAATTGTGGTGGTTTAATTTTTTGACAAATGCATTATCTTAGGAGTGGTCAGTCTGATTTGTCCACCCCTAAAGAATCAATAGTTAAACACCATATCACCCAGCCCATGTTCCTAACATTGAGCCAAGTGATGAAAATTAGGCAACTAAAAGCAGATATTTTGGCAAGAAGTATCACTGAGAGGCAAGCTGGTCATGAGTAGGTATTTTTTCATTGTTTTATTTACTCATTTATGAGTCTGAGGTATTGATTGCTCCCAAGTTCTCTCTCTAACATTTAGATAATTTACCACCAGATAGATGGTGATGGTGATGACTGGCTTTCCATTAATCTGTGTATCGACATTGTAGTTCATCTACCTATACTAGGTACAGGAAAGGAGTTGGCAAAGGAATAGTATAAATGGATGCATGTGACATGCTTTCAGAGAGTATCAGGTTTGCTTAAGAATGTTAGGGGTAAAATAATATAAACAAGTTTTTTTCTTTTCTGTCTTCTTCTCCTCTTCTCTTCTTGTTTCATTTATTTTCTTTTTGTTTCTTTTCTTTTTAAAACAGAGTTTCGCTCTTGTTGCCCAAGCTGGAGTGCAATGGCCCGATCTCGGCTCACTGCAACCCCCACCTCCCGGGTTCAAACAATTCTGCTTCAGCCTCCCAAGTAGCTGGGATTACAGTCATGCACCACTAGGCCAGGCTAATTTTGTATTTTTTTTAGTAGAGCTGGGGTTTCTCCACGTTGATCAGGCTGGTTTCAAACTCGCAACCTCAGGTAATCTGCCTGCCTCAGCCTCCCAAAGTGCTGGGAATACAGGTGTGAGCCACTGCACCAGGCCCTAATATAAACAAGTTTTATTGCTAGTATATAATTTTAAAATTATATTTATATTAAAGTCATTACCTATTGTGGAATATAAAGCAAAATAATCATGTGTCTTTAAGAGATGGAGTCTTGCTCTGTCACCTATGCTGGAGTGTGGTGGTGCAATCATAGCTCACTGCAACCTCAAATTCCTAGGTTCAAGTAATTCTTCTGCCTCAGTGTCCCAAATAGCTGAATTCAGGTGCACACCACTATGTCTGGTTCAAAATACACATTTTTGTAAAGATGAAACAGGAGATTTCAAGGACATTTCCTGCTTAGAGAGGCCACTTTCCACTGTACCTCAGGACTCCAGAATGTGGGATTAGGGTGACATATATTAGTTCATTCACATCTTTTATTAGAGACTCTTCCGTAAAAAGATTTGAGAAGCACTGCTTAGGGGCAGGAAGGAAAAAAGCATAACATTTACTTAAATAAATGTCTATTCAGTGACAGTTATGAAAGGACTCCATTCAGTTACACATTTTTTGAAAAAAACTAACTCTTAAATGAGCTAAGCAGGCTGGGTGCAGTGGCTCACACCTGTAATCCCAGCACTTTGGGAAGCTGAGGTGGGTAGATCACCTGAGGTCAGGAGTTCGAGACCAGCCTGACCAACATCGTGAAACACTGTTGCTACCGAAAATACAAAAATTAGCTGGGTAGGGTGGTGCATGCCTGTAAACCCAGCTGCTTGGGAGGCTGAGGCAGGAGGATTGCTTGAACCCAGGAGGTGGAAGTTGCAGTGAGCCAAGATCATGCCATTGCACTCTAGCCTGGGCAACAAGTGTGAAACTCCATCTAAAAAAAAAAAAAAAAAAAGGCAACAATAAATCACTAATTATTCTATTTATGAGAATTAAAATTTTAGGGAATGAAGAAGTACCAGTGGCTAGATTCTTACCGTTTCCTGATAAAGAACCACGAGTGGAGCTTTTATCTGCTTTAGTGTCTCATTTATCACTTTTGGTGTGAAAAGTTCCCATGATTTATACATATCTAGACTCTTGCTGCTAAATATTCTCTGCATACTTTGATAATAAACCCATACTAGTGTTTACTGCATACCAGACACTGCTCTAAGGTTTTTGCATTTAACCCTCACAGAAACTCTGTGAGACATAATTGTTCTTGTGTTTTCATTTTATAGATGAGAAAACTGACTCATAGAGAGTTCAGTAATTTTTTTAAGAGCACATAGCTTACAAATGATAGAACAAAGAATGGACCCTGGGCAATCTGGTTCTAGAGTCCTGTTGTTAAACATCACCTTTTCCTGCTTGTCATCACAGAAATTATTAAATGTTTACTGTTTACAAGGCAAATATTTATGAAATCATTAGAAATTCTGTTGGAGAACTGCTTTGAATCACATAAGTAGTTATTAACAAATGAGGATCTAGTAAAATTGGAGAATAATGGCATGGTAGGTGCCATTTGGCTAATAAAGGAAAGAAAATGAAGCCCTGAAATAGATTTTTTTAAATTACTTTCATTATAGTTATGCTATATACATCTTGTATGAAGTAAAGGATATTGCTTGGTGCTATTGGGCAGGGGATTTTTTGAGCTTTTTAAAACTGTATTTCAACATAACTATGCTTACAGAAATACACTCATATTTAATAATAGAATGTAACTTAAGTTTAACTTATGCAATTTGGATCAAAAACTTGGTACATGGTTTAAGATTTTTAAAAATGACTTGCAATCGGACTTGTTTTTATCTATTACTAATTGATATGGTTTGGCTGTGTCACCACCCAAATATTATCTTGAGTTCTCATGTATTGTGGGAGGGACCCAGTAGGAGGTAATCAAATCATGGGGGTGGGTCTTTCCTATGCTATTCTTGTGATGGTGAATAAGTCTTATGAGATCTGATGGTTTTATAAGGGGGCGATTCCCTGCACAAGCTCTGTCTTTGCCTGCTGCCATGCATGTAAGACGTAACTGGCTCCTACTTGCCTTCCTCCATGATTGTGAGGCCTCCCCAGCCATGTGGAACTGTAAGTCCATTAAACCTCTTTCTTTTGTAAATTGCCCAGTCTTGGATATGTCTTTATCAGCAGCATGCAAGATCTCATCTTTTTTTACATTGGTATAGTAGTAAAGAACCTTGAGAAACTTACCTTTGGTTTGCCTCATAAAAATAGCATGTGTTGCACTGTGTAAGTTTATAAAATTCGTGCAACAAAACGTTGTAATATTTCAATGCCAGTTCAGAAAGTTTAGTAACTAACAGATACGGAAGAGGGTGGGAGGGAAACCTATGTACACAAATACTGCATGTAGATTGTAAATCTACACAAACCAAGATTCAGATAATTTCTTCAATCTGCATTAACAGTATCTGTTCATTTCATCTGCCAAAGTCAACTAGAAAACACTAGCTGTTAAGTTTTTTTATTTTTTGACT